AACGTTTTTCATTCAGTCTTGATAATGGCTCGGTGAGCCGAAAGCTCGACGAAAATAAATAACTTTTACTTAGGTTGAAGTAGCGCTTACATCGTAATAAATATAGTGTTGCTGTCAAATGTTTCCCTCAAATGTTTCTTGTGTATTTTTTTCTATGATAAACCTTAACTATCCGAGTGCCGAAATTGTTTTATGCATACCAAATCCAGGGTATAAAGTCTAGTATGTTTCCCTTTGGAGGATATGGATTATTATATGTTGCTGAGATGTGCAAGGGCGCGTTTCCTTGACCATTTCGGTCTTTGTTTTCTGATGTCTTGTCAGCCTTTCCATAGCATTGCGAAATGACCGGAGCAAAATTTGTTCTATTAGGATATCCAGGATTCTTATGCAACAGGTGGCTTATGTTTCTGCTTTAATTGTGTGCTCGTAAACGTGCTCGCAAAGTCTTTTGATCATTCCGACGTTTTTAAAAAATTCCTGTACACTAAGAGTCCCTGTGCAGCTAGGGATCACCACAACTACCTTCATTCAATCAGCTATGGTTGCTACTAACTGATTTTCTATCGCAGTGGACGGCCAATACAAAAGATTGAGGGTTGTAAATATTTTCACATCATTCATAACATATTTCAAATACACGTATGTACCGATTCCTTAACTACTCTTCTTATGTTATCTACAATACTAGCCTATTGTAGATTGTGTTCTCTTTGTGTTCTCTTTGGCCCCGAAGGTTACTTTTTTYAATAGTTCAATCAAATTAGAATATTGCAGCTCTCTTCCACAAAATTAAAACGGGAATAGAGAATTAGTATTCCTTGATAAATAATATGCTAGAACTCGTCTTTTGCTGTGTCACGCAAAGAAGAGGGTTGCARCATTGTTCGCGTACGTGTAAGTCAGTTTCGTTCGTGCTCTAGCTCCTAACACAGCAGCTTTGTTTATATTGGGCCTCTTTTGGAGGTAACTAACGAACTCAAACATCTTCTTTAAATTCTAATTATTTTGGGGGGACTGATTTATACTGAGTGTTTTTTTTTCTGTTATATCCTTCCTCTTTTTAATCAGTATATGTATTTGCAGGTAGATTTTCAGAYCTCTAGTTAATAAATCGATCCCAAACATCTGTGCATTTAATCCCATTTTCACAAGAMAATTTAGGCTTAATTGAAACTCCAAGTTACCATTCACCGCCGAATATACTGCACACTTGTATCCTATAAAGCATGTCGGGTTGTGTTACCTAGTAACGTTTCYACCGGAAGGTTAGGTKAAATAATTTGGCGCGTAACATTTCGCTCTTATTTGCATAATATTATAGCATTAGTTCACAGGAAAAGCGTGCAAGGCTTTCCGGACGTTTCGATTCATAGTTCATCAACTGCATRTGCATGTTCTGCGTTGATTATAGCTGGCAATTTTGAAAATGGTGATTTTTGGAGAGTCGTTGGCTTTAGCGTCATTCTCGATAAGCATCTTCTGTATGCTGACTTCGCTTTCTTTTGTCGGTAAGCTAATATATGWTAGTCTTTTGAATTAGTTTATCATTCAATTCAGGTACCCTTTCTCTTTGTCACACAATAAACATATCAACGAGATTCAGAATTTWAAAAATCTCCATATTCCAAATCTTTATATCGTCTTACTAATATTCGAGGCGAAGGAACTATTGACACTTTCATCAGTGAGMSTCGTATAAATATTTTTTTGTTTGAACTTTAACCAAGAAACGCAGACAGCAGCGTCYAAAATTACATTGTTTGRTAAAAAAATAAGATCATATAWAATACATCTGCATATCACTATATGAATGAATTTCAATGTTAATGATCATGCAATAAAAAAAACTCTTGTCGTAATGCAGTTCTGTATAATACATGTCTACAAAAAGCGTATCATTACTATTCAGATTTAATTAAAAGTTCATTAATAAAAGGAAATAATCTTTCACTRAGCACAGATGCTGCAGCTCGATTCACTCACATTCCTCCAAGCAAACTCTACGTAGTTAAAGGAGGGACTGCCAGGTTTGAGTGGGACTACCACGTGGATAATAGGATGATAGAGTTTGACTCTATTTCACCGAGGTGGATACTCTACGATGCAAGCAACAAATATAAAGCGAGAATTGGCTATGATAACCGGTTTGATGGATGGAAATTCACAATTGATAACCGCTGTCCACCTCGATTACTAAGTCCAACAGTACGAGTAAGCAAAGAGTCCAATGCTACTTTGGTCATCACTAATGTCACCATAGCTGACAGTGGGATCTATGGATGCCTTTTAGTTTTATTAAGTGGATCACTGAGCTCGATGCCAATAAATAAAGTGGAACTGGTTGTAACAGGTGAGATCTCTTACACCCTCCCTTACTGAAACCCAATCTTTTACCGCACTTTTGTCATCCATCCGAAATCAATGAAAGATGCATAATTTCCTAATATAGTCGATTTCTGCATCCATGCAGCTATATTTAGTATATTTTATTGGTTGCAATCTATAGTCTACATAACTTAGATCATTCCTGTGTGCTCTGTGCCTTCACGCCTACATTAAAATTGAAGAAACTTAAAGTTGRAAGTCTCACCTAATTTAAACTAGATTTCGAATAGAAGTATATTCTACACTATTGGAACAATGCAAGGCCTTTGTTCGCTTTGGAATTGCTTTTTGCTGCGTCACACAAAGTGAAAGGTCACATCATCTTGCTTGCAGCACTAGCTTCCTGCTTTGGCTTCCTCTATAAACTTTGACTATTCTGGCCACCTCTAAAAACCTAAAGCAACCTTCCCTYCCAGGAGAATCAAGCATCTAAGAAGAAGATCACCTCATTGGTTGGAGGTTATTTTATAACGGTTTTGTAGTCTGTATACCATGATCTATTTTATTCTCGCTCTTTTGGTTTCTCTGCTTCACTATATAGCAATTATTGGTAAGTAATTCTAAGCCGACCCAAAGCAAAGAAGATTCAAACGAACACTCTTTTGAATGGGTTCGATTTATTTGTAGATTGCAAAGCTTTCTTCACTAAAATTCCTTCAAGCAAACTACTTGTATTAAAAGGAGAAACTGTTAAGCTTGTCTGGGACTACCATGTTGATGACATGGAGAGAGAGTTTAATTTACTTTCGCCGCTATGGTATTACCGTTATAGCAAAGATCGCATCCAGCGTGAAACAATCGGTTTTAACTATTGGTTTGTTAGATGGAAATTTCTAATTTCCAATAGTACCTGCCCTCCTCGGTTAAAAAAGCCTGCAATTCGAGTAAGGAGAGAGTCGAATGCCACTTTAGTCATCACAAATGTGACAATGGCTGACAGTGGGATCTATGGTTGCACTCTAGCTTTGGTATATGRGGCTGATGTCACAAACGAAGTGAATCTAATTGTTGCAGGTAAATACTGTTTAATAGGACTCATCATTAAAATGCTTAGTGATAGTGTGTCGTTTATTTAAATATACAGTATCTACAACACCGAATCAAATATAAAATCACCAAAATAGTTTATCATTTATTAATTTTAATGTCAAAGCAATCAATATGTCCAATGACATGTTTGTATACCCTTGACTTAATCATTTTTTTCAGCTATTTTAATAAGGCTTATCTGTTTCTTGTAATTTTCACACGAGCAAAATAGCATACAAAAATATTGCAACTTGATTGACAATGACAACAAATTTTTACTCTCTTTAGTTAATATTCAAATTCCAAAGCATTRTCAGTACGAGGTCACGTGGTATCATTGATACGGAAGTTTAGGTCAGCAATTTTACCAGCGCAACTCACTGCTCGTAATTAGCATATTATAGAAAAGGTCCACAGGACTAAGAGCAAGGGAGACCTTCAAGACTTGTTGGTTTCCCTGCCTATCATCTGCAAATTCTCAATCAAGTTTCATATTTAAATTGAAAAGTAGGAGAATTAATATGCTGATTTCTGGAGAGCCTTTTACCTTAGCATCATTTATAATAACCATCTTCTGTGCGTGGACTCCCCTCTCTTTTGTCGGTAAGCTATGGTGATAGCATCACTCGATTCTCTTGGACACGAACATATAGCAGAGAGCTTTAGATCTGTTAACCTAAAAGAGTACTCTAAAACGTACTCTTTTTATATCATTTACATCAGTTATTGACGTGACATACAAGAGCATGAATGGTTATTATTACGCGATCAATCCAAGACTGGATATGTTTTTATTCATGAATATAACCAGCTGCTTACATGATGCGCATCCGTACAATTCAGAGATTTGGCAGTTTTATAAATACAATAAAACAATTTTTCTTTGCGCACAGATGCAGCAGCTCAATTTACTCAGGTGCCTCCGAGCAAACTCTATGTAGTTAAAGGAGGAACTGCCATGTTTGTTTGGGACTATCACGTGGAGGATAGGTTGAAAGATTTTGATTCTGCATCACCACGGTGGAGATTCTATGGTGAAAATTTTATAGCAAATATTGGATATGACGACGTCTTTGCAGGATGGAAATTTCAAATTGATACACAAAGATGTCCACCTCGATTGCTGATTCCTACAGTACGAGTAAGCAGAGAGTCTAACGCTACTTTGGTCATCACTAATGTTACCATGGCTGATAGTGGGATCTATGGTTGTCGTTTATTCTTGTCAAGTGGATTATCAAGCTCCATGCCAATAAGTAAAGTAGAGCTCATTGTTACAGGTATAGCTTCATCAACCACCCTCCCTCTGTCCTTCACCATAAAATATACGGATAAAAATGTGCTCAGAGATGCATTAATTAAACTTATTTCGATAAAGGTGCAAACTAAACGAGACATTTTTTTCAGAAACATTTTATTGTTTGTTTTGAAAAAGCGGCWGCTTTCGATTATTTAACTTCTAACTATATATTCGGTTGTTCTGTGATTCCATTCAGGGGGAATGGTATCATCTCATCATTCACTTATAGGTTTGATTGGAGTAAGCAGTATATGATGACGACATTGTGTTCTTAGATTTGAATACTGATTGTTATATTCTTTAACAACCTATTATACTCAATTGTGTACGAACTGGGTTTATCTATGCGAATAAAGGCTTACGTAGGGTAACTGCTAGCGTAAAATCGATTTCTTGCGGTGTCACGCAGAAAAGGAAAGGTCACATCATGCTGTCAGCTTYCGCTTTTGGAAATGTTTCGGTACTTTCATGAATAAGGCTCTATTGGKAAATTTAAAATAAGGAAGTAGCTGGTTCGTGTTTTAACAGGTATAATATATCTATTGTACASCATGCTGTATTTTGGTGTCGCTGYTTTGTTCCTGTACATAACATTTACRGGTAAGMATCTMKTAYCTCAAAWTCAGCTGCGCAAAATAACAGAAACTGTAACCCATGCAGGTAAAACTGATGATGCACATTATCAGTTGCGTTGTTTCGATTTATCACATAGATTGTAAAGCTCAGTTAATTCGGATTCCTTTAAGAAAACTATATGCATTAAAAGGAGAAACTGTGAAGTATTTTGAGGGGACTAGTGTTGACAACATAGTTTTTCATGTATTCATGTATCCGGATATATTACTTGATGAAATAAGAAAAACAAATATCAATATCTTGCTATTCAAGCCGGTCAGAAGATGTCTAGCTTATCAGGATAATGCGAGAAAAAGTTACACGCGTTATCCTTTTCTGTCATGTTTTATTTTAAAAGCCAATCGTGAATTATGTTACGTGTTTCGCTTGATCCGGAAGGTTATGTCTTGCAGCAGTACATTCGAATTATAATATTACAGCTCTATTCCACTGAACGAATAAGCAACATGATGGCATCTTGTTGACTCTGTATCCTTTATCTGAATMTGCAAATCYGTATGTTGACTTTTAAGTTGGCAGTGATAAAGAATGCTGATTTTTGGAAAGTTTTTGAGTTTATCATTTTTYAAAAGCATTTTCTGCATCTTGGGTTCGCTTCCGTTTATTGGTAAGCAATTTGTAAATGCATTTGGAATAATTATCAAACAGTTGTTGTTCCTCGACATCACCAGAACGTAYGGTTCMTGGCACAAAAGGAAGCTTTACAGCGATAGGAACAGCACTACATCATTTAAATAAAAAACTTACAGTGAGAAAAATGCAGTGAGAAATTAAGACATATTGCTGGCCTCACTTTAGCAATTCATTAGAAATTCATAGAAACAAATTTTTCTCTGCGCAGATTCAGTAGTTCGGTTCACTCACGTTCCTCCCAGTAAACTGTACGTAGTTAAAGGAGGGACTGCCAAGTTTGAGTGGGACTACCACGTGGACAACAAGATTAAAGAGTTTGATTCTCAATCACCAAGATGGAGACTATACCATGCAAATTTTATTGCAAATATTGGCTATGACGACTACTATGAAGGATGGGAGTTTATGATTTATAGAYACAGCTGTCCAACTCAATTATTAAGGCCTAAAGTACGAGTAAGCAAAGAGCCTAATGCCACTTTGGTCATCACTAATGTCACCATGGCTGATAGTGGGATCTATGGATGCCTTTTATTTTTATCAAGTGGATCATCAAGTTCMATGCCGATAAGTAAAGTAGAGCTTATTGTAACAGGTATGATTTTTATTCCTGAAGTGTTTCCAAATTCTCACCTCTCTCCCCAAAAATAACATATGTAAATTTATCAACTGCATGAAAATTTGTTATAAAATATTATATTATATTACATGTTTACTAGTACTAGTTGT